AAAAAAATTAGCCAGACGTGGTGGCGCGCCCCTGTAGTCCCAGCTACTCGGGAGGCTGAGGCTGAATTCAAGAATCGCTTGAATTCGGGAGGCAGAGGTTGCAGTGAGCCTAAACAGCACCACTGCACTCCAGCTTGAGCAACAGAGCAAGATTCTGTCTCAAAAAAAGAAAAAAAGAGTGAGACGGAGTTCTGCCTTGTTGCTCAGATTGCCCATGCGGCCTAGAACTTCTGGGGTCAAGCTACCCGCCCAGCCTCCCAAAGTGCTGGGATTACGGGTATGAGCACCGCTCCCAGCCATTCCCAGCATTTTATCTCTAGCTCTAGCCTCTCTCTTCCTTGAGTTCCAGCCTTCTACCTCCAACTGCCTCAAAACACCGACCTCATAACTAATATGTATGTACAAGTTAATATATCCAAAATAGAATTCGTTATTTTTCCCACCTCAAATTTCTCTGTTCCATTCTTCATCTCAGTAAACGGCACCATCTACTCAGTGCTCAAAACAAAGCCCAAAAAAGCAAAGACTCCTACCATTCCCTCACCAACCCAAGTCTTGTTCCTTCTACCTTCAAAGCATTTAAAATCTGTTTACTCTTCCCCATCTCCCCGCCATGGGCCTAGCAAGCTACTGCAAAGGGCATAGAACTAACCTCGTGGGTTCCTCCCCAGCCCTCTTCCTCCACTCAGCAGTCAGATCACGCTACTCACCTCCTCAAAACCTTCAAAGGCTTCCTGGAAAAAGTAAACTCCTAATCAGGGCATCACCTGCCCCATCTTTTCAAGAGTATACACAAACAGGAATATACAACCAAGGGTAATATCTCTAGACCCTTGGATGCAGGGCATTTTTTTTCTTGTTTTGCTTGTATTTTGAAATTTTTCTACGCTGAATGCTTGCGACTCATTAAGAAAGGGGAAATGCTATTGCTAAACACTATGTAATATTTCGCATTTTTTACATGTCAGAGAGAAAAGGGAATGGAAAATGTGGGTCGACTCTGTAACTGCTGATGAAAATACTAGCAAACATCAAACTCAGAAAATGATGTGTCAGGCCTGCAGGATTCCTGATGGCATGCTCCTCCTCTCCTCTCCATTTCTCAACAGAATCCAGCTGGAGATGGGAAGAGCCTCATTGTCTCCGCCGCAGTCTGGCCACAGCCCTCCAAGCCAGCCTTTCCTGCAGGGGTCCTCACTTCCCGAGGCCCCCACTCCGCCCCGCACTGCCCCATCCCTGGAGCCCCACGGCCTCCCCCACCCCTCCCCTCCTTCCCGGGGAGGGCTGCTCGGGATGGCGACAGGTTGCAGGGGCAGTGCAGGATCCTTTCGGTAAACCCACGACTTGCTGGTACTGGGGCCAAATCTTGCCGCCTCCAGGGCCAATAGCTTAACGTCCCGCAAGCTCCGGCCGCCGTGGCTCCGGGACCCGCCTCCCCTCAGCGCAGCGCCCGGCTGAGAAGGAAGCCCCAGCCTCACGCTCCAATTCCAGGCTCCCGCTTCGGCGGCCCCCGGTCCCGCACCCGGGGTCCTCCCGGCCCTCCTCCTCGGCCCCGGGGACTCACCGGGTCCCGCCGCGGCGCGGCCGGCCGATGGGGGAGGGGCACGCACGTGCCCGCGCCGCCCCCGCCCAGATAATGCACCGGAGAGCGGGGCGCGCGCTCGGCCGGCCCCTTCCTGCGCCCGCCAACACTCACCCTTTCCCAGCGTCTCAGGCTGCAGCGCGGGCCCCGCCGGGCGCCGCGAGAGAGCACGGCGAGGTGAGGGGGCGCGTGAAGCCCCGCGGAGCCGCCCCGCCACGAGGCTCCAGCGACCCCGCAACCCGCGGAAGCACACGGCTCGGCAGCGCCCGCCCGACTTGTTCCGCTCCGCGCGTCAGCAGCTGGGCGCGTCGAGGCGCGCGCGCGGCGGCGGCGGCGGTAGTGGCGGTGGCGCGCCCGCGGCCCCGGGGCGGGGCTCGCAATGATGGGGGCGGGGCGGGGCAGGGCGGGGCGGAGCTCGCAGGGATGGGGCGGGGCGGAACTCCCATAGATGGGATGGGGGCGGGGCGGGGCAGGGCGGGGCGGAGCTCGCAGGGATTGGGGCGGAGCGGAGCTCTCATGGATGGGATGGGGGCGGGGCGGGGCGGGGCCGGGCGGGGCGGGGCGGGGCGGGGCTGGCCCAGGCAGCGACCACGGCCTCCGAGGCCACTTCCTGGTCAGGGTGGGCGAGGATTTTCGCAAAGGCACCGTCGTCCATCACTTTCCTGCCCTGGAAGATGGCGAATTCCAGCCCCGAATTTGACAGAATATTCATGCAGCCGTCGTGTATGACCTTCTGTATTAATCACAATAGTCACTGTGATTTTTGTGTGTGCTGCCTTTTTTTTTGAGACAGAGTCTCGCAGTGTTGCCCGGGCTGGAGTGCAGTGGCGCGATCTCAACTCACTGCAACCTCTACCTCGGGTTCACGCGATTCTCCTGCCTCAGCCTCCCGAGTAACTGGGATTACAGGTGCCTGCCACCACACTGGCTAATTTTTTGTATTTTTAGTAGAGACAGGGTTTCGCTATGTTGGCCAAGCTGGTCTCGAACTCCTGAGCTCAGGTGATCCGCCTACCTCACCCCCCATGTGCTGGGATTACAGGCATAAGCCACTGTGTCCAGCCGTACATGGTGTATTTAATGCTTAATAAAAATGTGCTAAAAGATTTACTCCTATAACCCCAATAGCAAGATCAGCAAATTGCACATAGTTTGCACTCAAAAAGTATTTATCGAATATATGGATAGTACGAACTAACTTCAAGGCCCTGCATGACCAAGGAATAGAGGAATGTATAATATGTCACCCCTGGCCTCCTGACCTGAAGTATATTAGAGGTAAAAGCAGATTAGCAATTTGTTCAGGCCAGGCAAGGTGGGTCATGCTTGTAATCCTAGCACTTCGGGAGGTCAAGGAGGGTGGATTGCCTGAGGTCAGGAGTTTGAGATCAGACTGGGCAACATGGTGAAACCCCATCTCTACTAAAATATAAAAAAAAAATAGCCAGGCATGGTGGCCGGCGCCTGTAATCTCAGCTACTGGGGAGGCTGAGGCACAAGAACCTGGGGGGCGGAGGTTGCAGTGAGCAGAGATCATGTCACTGCATTCCAGCCTGGGCAGCAGAGCAAGATTCTATCTCTAAAAACAAATCCAAACCAATATTTGTTCAACAATGTATTTGCATTTCTATTCTGTGTTTTGGGACTGTGTTCCAACCCCTATGTTAGGCACCGAGGCCTAAGAAGTGAACGAAACAGACTTTCTGCCCTTGTGAAATGTATAGTCTAATTACCATTTGACAGGGAAGTTTAACCTAATCAGAAAAGTCAAGAAAGGCATCCTTGGCCAGGCTCGGTGGCTCACGCCTATAATCAATCCCAGTGCTTTTGGGAGGTTGAGGTGGGAGAATCTCTTGAGCCAGAAGTATGAAACTAGTTGTGGTGATAGTGAGACCTGACTCTAAAAAAAAAAAATTTAGGCCGAGTGTGGTGGCTCACACCCATAATCCCAACACTTTGGGAGGCTGAGGCGGGTAGATCACCTGAGGTCAG